CACAGCAGATCGCTTGCAGCCGAACTTGAGTTTCACCCCCACAAAAAGTATGCTGTTTGGATTTGGGTTGGGGTGGAGGGTGAGTCGCCCTCTCTTCCCACAGTGCAAATGCAAAATGACAGCTTGCATTGAAAATTTAAAGTCCGGATGCACCAGCCTTTGTTTCCACCCACCCCCATCCCTGCGGTTCATTTCCTTTGCTTTTATTTCTGTGAGTGAAGTCTACAAAAGGATAAGAAAATTTTTGCAAAGTGGTTGCCAGCTTTTAGCATCCACCTGCTAAATCGCCCCCCACCCCCAAGGTCCCCGTCTGGCTCTCTAGCAGGTGTAGCTTGCAGCTGTAGCAGATTTCACCCAGCATGGGACAGATGGAGGGGATACAGCCATCACAGCAGGGTAGAGTTAAAAAAAAAACCTACATGATCAGACCTTCATCACGGCCTGACAGGGATTTGTGGCATTGATGCCGACCATGCCGAGTTAGCAGGTGTCTGCTCTGTGGTATCGTCTGAGCAGCAGTGGGATTCCTTTTGGTGGGAGAGAGAGGGGGTTGGCACCCCCTGCAGCACAGGCAGACCATTTTGTGTCTGAGTTGTTTGGAAGTAACTACAGTAGATTTTACTTGGGGAAGCATTGCAGGGAGGGGTGGGGTGGGGGAGCCCTAATAACCTGGGGTGCTCAACTCACGCATGCCGTCTGAGGTTCGCCTGCTTCATCTTTAAAATGAGGGTGTGACAGAGTCTGCTAGAGCTCCCCCAAAATCCACATGCTTCCCTATATTTCCCAGCCCCGATGTGTAGGTGGGGTCATGTGACTTATCCTCACAGGTGGCACGGAAGGGAAGGGATATGCCACTCCCTGGCCTGAGGCAGTTAAACAGGCAAACTAGAAGGCCGTATACCGCCAATGGCATGGCTCCAAGATGGAGGAGGGCTGCCTGGCCCACACCGGGCATTATTACAAGGGCTGGCCTGTTGGAGCAGCTAACTCGAGAAGTATCCTTGGTAGGGCTGTAGTGCAGATTGTAGATAAGGCAGATAAAGCATCTGGCACATAGTAGGCTCCTTCAAAATGGCAGCTCTTTCCATGTGCCAGTTACAGCTATAGATTGGGCCAGACAGTGGCAGGTAATTTCTCTCTTATATCGCTTCTCATTCATGTCACATCTCTGAAGGTCTAGGGAAAAAGGCAAAGGTCACAGTTGTCCCCGAAAGGTGGTTCTTTTCATTTAATCTCTTGCCCCATGGAAAACTTTTTCTTGAGTTAGTATTTCC